GCGATCTCTTCTTCCGATATCCCTTCCAGTGCAGATCGCTCGCGGCCCACCGCCGCTGGCTTAACTTTTTGAGCTACTCGCTTGTGTCGCTTGGGTAGCCTCCCATAGGGGGTCGTGCCCTTAAAAAAGACACGCATACCACACCGCCAAATTCCTCATCTTTTTCCTTTGGGTACGAGTTGCCGTCCACTATTAGCCGACTCCCTAAATCTTCCACCTCCACGATCCGACCTTCTTCCTTTTGTGAGCAGTGGTCCATATTTCTTCTCGCGAAATCGCACCGCGCGGCCGGAGATAAGTAACGACTTAATCTGATCACTGGGTCTCGCACCCACAGCAAGAGTTGCTCTGTTCCTCGGATCCCGAGGCTCCACTGTCTCAATCATTACCCGCGTCCCGTCTGGTTTCCTAATGGACAATGTTTGACTCCCATCAGGTCGCTCTATCGTCACCGCATGCACGTGGCTCAGCCACGTTCGACCCAAGAGCAGGTCGGAGCTGCAGTTCTTGACTGCAAAGACAAGCAGGGTCACTCGTACCCCTTGGACCTCTATGGCTGCCTTGTAACAAACCCCAGTGATCGGTTGCTTTTTCCCATCAGCCGTCTCTATCTCGAATAGGTATGACCTATCGAGGCCCAGTCCAACCTGTACTGCCAGGTCCTCGTCTATGATGGCAGCCTCACTGCCGCTATCGATCACAGCATCGAGTACCGCTCCATCGTTTATAATCGTCTCCACGGCCCCGCTACCAAGTATATAAAACTTGTCTGGAGGCACACCTTCCATTCCATCGAGAAGGACTGTCGCCATGCGATCCGCTCTGGCAGTCATCCCCGTTACTGCTACTGTAGAAGTTTCCGCCTTAGGGGCCCCTTGACCCTCCTCCGATAGAGGTATGCGAGTCTTCCGCGTGATCATCTGTAACTCATCACGAGCCGGCTTCGATGCCGCCAGGTACTCCAGAATAGAGCACTGCATGGGTTGCCGAAGGGCCCGCCTCTGTGGCTCGACCGTATCAATCTCGTCCAGCGAATTCTTCATTAAGAACTTCTCCACTCCCCGCTTTCGCGGCGAAAGGATAACCTCCTCTTCATCGACCCACTGCCCGTCCTTCTCCGTCATCACGTAATCCGTGTCAGTCTTCTTCGATGTAGACCCTCTCGCCGACTTGGTGGTTGCCACCCTTATGGGTGTGGTCGCCATATCCCCCTCAAAGGTTATCTTGATGCTCTGGCTCCTGACCGGCTCCTTTTCTTTACTCGGCTTTACTCTCCTTGCTTCGACATTCTCCTTCATCGAAGGGAACATCGATACATCTCCCAGACCATCTGCCCACTTGACGTACTTGCGGTCGTCAAGCACGACAAGCCCCTCATCTATTGCCCGTTTGAGGTCCGGGCAATCTCTCTTGATATGATCTTCTCCTCTACAGTAGACGCATGAGTTCCTGGGAGTAGATGGTCCGTCGTCTGCGCTTCTAGAGATCGAACTCCTGGCTGCCTTGGGGTCAGGCGACTTGGGATATGGTTTTGATGAGACGCCATATCCCCCTCTCTCATTCTGACCGCGCGAATCGTTGCGGCGATCTCCTCCAGACCCTCCTTGCTTATACCGCCCTCGCGAATCATTCCGGCGGTCCCCCGAGTCATATCGCCCTCGTGACTCATCGCGTCGGTCCCCTCGGTTGTACCACCCCTGCGACTCGTCGCGCTGCTCTCTCGCATCTCCCCCGCGCTCAAACCATCCGGGCGACCCATCTCGTCGTTCCCAGTCTCGATCTCCTCTTTCATACCTACCACCTTTGTAGCCATCTCGACCCGACCTCTCGTATCTGTCGTCCCTATATCCGTCTCGGTCCGATCTCTCGTATCTGTCATCCCTATATCCATCTCGGTCCGATCTCTCGTATCTGTCGTCCCTATATCCATCTCGTCGGCCCTGATCTGTCTCCCATCGGCCGCGGGAGTTGCCTCTACCCCGATCGGCCTCATAGCGAGGGCTTCGCGGGTAATCATCCAGCCTCCTTGCTCGCGCAAACG